GCTTTTGGTATTCAAAAAGACAGACTTGAGCAAAGCAGGCCAGCTGGTCACACTATTCATGGCCCACCATCCTCTCTTTTCTCTCAGTCCCTTCACAGGCAGTGAAACAGCACCTTATCAGCCTATTCAGGTTGTCAAGCTTATGGTGATGTAGAACAACAGCTTGCATAAAGTAGCTATTTCCTCCAGCCATAAGAGACACAAGAAACAGAAAGAAAAAACACTCCGCTCTCATCTCTTCTCACTGCAGGGGCATCTTTTAAAAGTGTCCATTGTCCATAGGTCTGTTTACTCCAAAAATCCAGAAATGAATTTAAATCTTAATGCCGTAATCCATGTCTCATTAACAAAGAATCAGAAGGGGCAGACAGCCCCTCACAGAGCCAGTACTACTCCTTCCAGCTCAGCAGCAGGAGTTTCTTAGGATGAGGAAATGGGCCACAACCAAGCAGGGGATGAGAGTTGGCACCATCCTGCCCCTCCCCTCCCCCATTGGTCGCTATCTGCTAGACCCAAGTGCATGGGGTGGGGGGTGCAGGGAGACAAGCTGTGTAAAAAAGACTTCTGGCTTCACTAAGATACATTAAAGAATTAATTATAAAGTAAAGCTGAAGGAGAAAATTAATTTTAGAAACACAAGAGGTTACATTTTTTTTTCCTGGAGATGGGGGAGGAAACAGTTATTTTCGTTTGCATCCTGGGGGCACAAGCTGGGAGCTGTCCAGTCGATAACCTGGCCATCAGAACAAGGTTTGTAATTAAAAGGTCAGTGACCTGGAAAGCCGGGGCCTCACTCCCAGGGCTTCTCAGTAATGACGGAGCTATTAAATTAAGACTGTTATGAAATCAATGCTAAAAAAGCTTTCATGGTAACGAGATTCCATTCAAGGACATGCAAACTACCTCATGAAATGGACTTAAATGATAAAAAAGAAAAGTAATAAAAGAGAGTTAAATTGAAATCTGTGTTAAGAATTTACTCCCCCTTAAAAGACTCCGGTGAGAGAAGCCCTTCACCTCTACCCCACGACCAAGGTTGAGATGAGCAGGCTTCTTCCTCAAGTTCATTTCCAATAAGGAGGCAGTTTTGCTCCTGGGAGTTCAGATTCTGGGAATTGAAGAAGGATCAGATCTTAGTTTCACCTCTTAGAATGAGAACGTAAGGTGATGGTATGTCCTATCTGCTGTCTCTTTTCCCTTCAACTATTTATTAGACAAGAAGGAATAATGCCCATGACTTTACGGCTGAGGGAATTCTGTAAAAAAATGTGAGCCAACACCACCCAGGCCCCGTTCATTTTTCTAGGCACTCATCTCTGTTACAGAGCTTGCTTTGTGCCACACATGGTTAAAACGAGTTAAGTGCCTCCTTCTCCATCTCATCCATTTATTCTCCACTCCCCCAAAACATCTTCCCTCCCCCAGGAAAGCATCACTTTTACCCACCTTATACTCAGCCTGCCAAACATGTTGGAAGCAGACTGCCTCCTACATTTTGTGGTTGGATAGGGTGTCAAATCAACATAAGCCTATTGACAACAATTTCCAAACCTCTCACTTTCTGAGCTGACTCTCTTGCTGTTTTTCAGTTAATCTGACCTGCTGGACTGCAGCCTGCTTAGAGCCTCAGATCTGATGCCTGCCTGGCAAGAATCGCCTCTATATATAGACCAGTTCTGTGAGGGCTTAAGCCCCATACACAGTCCAATTATCTTCATGTGTGGCTGACTCTGCAGCTGATGTGTCATCTGCAGAATCAAGTGGTTGGAAGGAAAACAAAAACATTTATTCGTGTACTCTGAAGGTGAACAGCTGCTTTTCTCTTTCATCCAAAAATTCTCGATAAAAGGAAGAAATGTTGTAAATTACACAAAATGGCAGTACAAACTTCAAAGAAAATGATAAATGATTCTAATAACTTCATGTTTCTCATTAATGACTCCATATTCAGACTTTAAAGCATCCGAAAGAGATATCAAAAAAAAAAGAAAGAGATTTTAAAAAGCCCCTGAAAGTCCTTTGTAAACCAATGCTCTCCTGTCCCTATCCCACTCATTCCTCACTTGCCACCCCTGCACCTCCCCAGCCCTCGAAATCGGAGAGTACAACACTTAACCTGTCAGTAAGGAAGGCAGGAGGCAGCCTCTGCTCCTGGCTGTGGTTTCCCAAGAAAACTAACTCCGCTGACGCGCCTAAAGTAACCCTCATTTTCCACTGAACTGACATGCACTACAGGGACCTCAATTTCTATATTAAATATTAAATAATATTAAAAGAAAAACAAAATTGGATTTGCCTTTTCAGGAAAGAGATGTTTATTAAAAAAGAAGAAAAAAAAAAAAGGAAGAAAGTCAAGATTATAATTCAAGTCAGTTCTTCAGTGCAATTCCCTGAAGTGACATTTGCTAGGAAAAGCCAAGAATACAGGAGCTGAGTGAGAGCTCTTCCAAAGCCAGTGCTTCAAACCCACCCCTGCAGTGAGTCCTGCAGGGAGGAGCGAGCAGAGCAGATGCCAAAAACTTGGTCCCTCCCACCTCCAAACACTCCCACCCAACCCTGAAGGCCAGTCGGCCAACTCTGTCCTTCCCCAACTACAGCCAGGACCAGGGTGGATCCTTGGACCCCTCTCCCTTCCACCTCCCCTCCCGCCCCCTTCAGTGACAGTGCCAAACGCAGATCGTGGAAGCCTGACCCAAACAACGGCCGGAAATTAAAAAAGTGAAGTTTAAATCCGCGGAGGGGCTCTTCTTCCCCAGACACCGATCAAACCTTGGAATCCTCTGCCCAGAAAAGGTCCTGCCAGAACTTACCCTACTGGGATTCCACTCGGAAATGGATAATTACTGACTGAAGCAGCGTTTTAGATGATAATGGAGATGGGTGATTAACTTCTGTGATTCTGAGTTTAAGTACGGGGTAAACGCGCATGGTTCGCTTTAGAACCTCTTAAGGTTCTGAAAACGCTAACCCAAATTAGAGGTCAGTGAGGAATTCTACCCTCTGCCCACCAACACTCATCTTGTTCATGTCTTCTCTCAAATGGTTGCCTTTAGCGAGGCAGGCTAATTGCCCTACTTAAAACTGTAATTCCTTCCCACACCTGCCATGACCTCTCTCAACCCTGCTTTATTTTTTGCCATGTAACATAGTAAGGCCTTCATTTTTTCATCTGTTCATCTGCTTTTCCTCATTAGAATTTAAGCTTCACGAGGGCAAGGATTCTTGTCTATCCTGTTTTCCTTGCCTCTGACAGGGCTGCCGCTCTTTGCTGAATTAATTAATCAATCAATTGACTTTTTTTTCCCCAAAGAAGCAACAAATAATAATTCCACAAAACAGTTTCTTCTCTACAGTAATTATTACCCAAGTAACTTAAAAGAAGTATTATTCAGTACAGAGTTTCTCTCTCTCTCTCTTTTTTTCTCTCCCTCTCCCAGTCAGGGATTTATTAAAATTAAACAGATTAGATGGAGCTCCTGATACTAAAACTGCTCAGCAAAGCCTGCGGTGGGGAAGTGCCGAGCAAACACCAGAGACATTTGTCTCTAAATTGCTCTAAATACCTTCTGCAAATGAAATTCTAGCCCAGCTGCGTTTGAGAGAAAATGAGGAATAACTGGTCATTGTCGGTGGAAGAGAAGATCAGGCAGTTATAATATTGCACAATATACTGGGGCTAAGGATCTCTCGGCAACCATAGATTTTGTCTCAGGTTACCCCGGGTAATCAGCACAGCTTTTAGGCTCAGCTTTCCCCAGCTTCAATGCTTTGATGAGAGAGCTGAAATCCCTAAGCTTTTATGATTAATTACTCCCCATAGGTACACATATTTCAAGGAAAAACTCTTTTATGGCATGATGCTTGCCGAGTGGAGAGGCTGGCCAACGCACTCCAAATTTTAATAATCTCCTAATGACTAGGGGGGCCGGGGGGGAGCGGGCATGGTACCGCCAGCAGGCGCACTGCGCCCCTCACCAACTCTGTCACAGGGCCCAGCCTGGAGGCCACACTATCATTGCCTGTAAGCAGCTGCCTTGGATGAAATGTTTGGACTGACTCTCATCACCAAACTGGCGTAAGATGCTGCCCTGAAACTGAATGGGAGAATCACCTCTGTCCTGAGCAGGCCTAGGAGACATCATCTGCTAAACCAGTCATGGGCATCCTGGAGCCCGATATTCAGAACTCAGAATTCAAAAACTCATAGTCCAAGTCCTTAAAGAAAAAGTTTTGTTTGAGGAAAAGGAAAACTCAATTTTCCTCCCCTTCATGACTGTTCAAGCAAACACCTAGATTTCTAGTAAATTAAATGTTCCAAGAATGAAAAATCTAGTTTCCTTGTTTGTTTTGCTCTATTTTTTTCCCTTTATGTTTGCAAAGAAGGGGGGGGGGGGGGGGGGGGATTCTAACAGAGCCAGAATAGATTCTGTCTGCTTTGAACAATATTGAATTTGTCGGGACCCATTTTATCCCTGCTTACAGAAATACCATAAAACCAGTAATTTACCACTCAATCTGTAAATCAGACTGACCCCGAGTTTGACCTTAACCTGACCTTGTTTAGTCATCTAGTTTCCCTCTTCCTTCATCTCCTCCTTCCTCACTCTCCACCGCTGACTGCCTAAACTAAAAGCAGTCATTCTATGGTCATTAACGGGGTGAGGACAAGAAAGAAGGAATCCTCCACACTTTTCTCCAATGAGCCTCTTTTTCTATTAAAGGCTGCCTTTGCCAGGATGTTCTGAGCTAACACCTTGGCTTTATTGTATTTGGGGCTCAATTATCTGAACCTTAAGATCTCTCTGTTCCACTGTAAAGAAAGGACTCTGCATTCCCTGTTGGGGCGGGGGTGCTCTCCTCACCCTCCTCCCAGGCCCACACAAGTGCACGGCTATCAGATATCTCTGATGCACTTAGTACCTATTTCCACACTATGGTTTCCATCTGCTTGACCCAACCTTTTCTGCGGACTGTTCTGTATGGCTGTGGGGAACCTGTACCTTTCTTCTTGAGGAATGCTCTCCTGGTTGCAAGTGGGCTCTGGCGGACCCGGGAATTCTGTAGAAACTTCACTGCTGTGGCAATCTAGTAGAAGAGAGAAAACAGAAGAAAAGTAAACGTCAATAGTCTAGATGTCAAAATTAAAAATCTTACCAATTTATGTCAAGTCCACCAAGAGAAAGCAGACCACTGTGGTCAAATTTATAACCAGTTCTTTCTTAAAGTTAAAATCGACCTAAATGAAAGACTATGTTTTCTTATTGTCACTAGCTTCTCATACTATCTGGGTCTATCAAACCTCTAGTTTCTAAGACTTGCAGTAATGGTTTCTTAGGAAGCTCTAGTGGCCTAATGGTAAGAAGCTGCACTGCAGTCCCAAAGTCACACTGTTCTAATCCAGTAGTTGCTCTACAGGAGGAGGACGGTCAATCTCCTCTCCTGCAATTTACTGCCTCTGAAAACCCAGTGGAGGGTCAGGTATGGGTCCACTCCAACTCAGTGGCAAACAACAACAGTTCTCCCTAATTCAAGGCAATTCTTCACAGCTCCCCACAGATAACCCTCCTTGCTCTACCCCCCCCCCCAGTAATTTGCTCATCATTATCACTTGTCCCTATCCTGTGCTCTCTTTCTGGAAGAATGCCTTCATCCTCTATGTAGATATTACACAAAGACACTATAATACCAACAAGGTCTTTTGATAACTTCTTCTAATGTCTCAAAGCCTTCCCAAAATAAGCCCATCATTTCTGATCTCCTATTCCCTTAAATTCTTCAATACTTGTAAGTGTGCACCATATTGAAGACATAATTATTCTGTCTTCTAGTATTCAGGCTGCCTCCCCAGCTACATCACAAGCATGTGAAGGAAAGAGTCCATGCTCCTCCGCAGAGCCTGGCCAAGTGCTGCGAAAACCCCAGATGGAAGGGATTAAATGTAAGACAACATGCTCCACAATTCACATGGTCACATCAGGCTAAATGGAGCTAAATTTGGAAGCTTTTACAAAGGACAGAGTTTGGAGATTCATAACTAAAAGGTGACTGGTTAAATACCTATCTACCTACCCAAGGTAAAAAATATCTATTCTTTCATGAAATCGTCATCTCTTCACAAATCAGGCAAGTAGGGAACAGAAGGAAAGCTGTCGAGGGTTCTCGCCTCCACATCACTCAGCACACATAAAGCACGTGTTTACACGGCTGCTGGTCTGCTCTCCATCCCAGCCTTGAAAGACACAAGAGGGGACACACCAGCCTGCCCGACAGAGAAAGGGAGCCATTCAACTCATCAAAACCAAAAGACTAACATGGTCTCATGTTACAGGTAAAGTCAACAGGCCCTGACGTTCACTTAGAAATTGATGAAAGAAAGAATTTTTAATGAGTCAAACAGAAGAAAGTTTTCTACCATCCTTCAAACTAAGAGTAGCAGTTGGGCATTGATTCAAACAAAAAGCACTGTGACTATAAATGAAATACAAGTTACAAATCATCTCTTTCCCATATTTTATATGAATTTAACTCTGAGACCAGACAGGCTTGTCTAGTAATAAAAGACAAGGATAAACCAGGGTGGGGGTTAAAGCCAGGGCAACTCCCTTATTTCTCCAATAATCACTCTGAACCAAGACATTCTCCCTAAAGGATGAACTCAGATTCCCAGGACTTTTCAAATTTGAACCTGTCAGCAATACCACATACTAGCGGTTCCTGAGAGCCAAGCCTAGCCCTCTAAATTCGTTATAATATTAACCACCACTATGAGCTGCAGTGATAACCAACCAATTCTGACCTATGGAAAAACACAAGAAAAACTGATACTTGAGATTCTAGAACCCCACACATGACAGATTCACTCTCCTTAGTCCCTTAACCAGATCTCCTCAGGTTGGATCAAAAGCAAGACAATTCTAACATATACAGAAAACGGATCCATTTTAATGAAGAGATGAGAAAGGGGGAAGGAGGAGGAAAGAAAGAAGAGATACAAAAATAAAGAGAAGGAGAAAAACAGGAGGGAAGAAGACTGTAGGGCAAGAAAAGAAGAGAAATAACAAGGAGGGGAAAGAATACAGAAAGAGAAGCAGAAAAGGAGGGAAATAAAAGGAAGACAGGCCGGTGCTCTGGAAAGAGAGTAGGCCTTTGTGGAATCATTGGCCCCACAGGTCAACGCCAATCTGTGTGGCTCAGATGGCTTGGAGATAATTGTTCTTCACCTGGAGGAAAAATGTGCCTTCAATACACAAGAAAATTACAGTATTTGTATCATGCAGCAGTCTGTGCACGCTCTGCTATGTGTACCAGGTGTCAAAGGAAATGTGGATGGACAGGTCCTCAAGCAGTAGATGCTAATAGCATGGTTCCTATCATTTACCCATAGAAACATAAACCTTGTCTTCATCCTTCCAAAATTTTCCACAGCATAAAAAGAAAACAGAATCCCACCACTAAAACGCACAGGTTTCACCTTGCTTTTTTAATACAGTCCTTGGTATATGCATTTCTGGTCAGAGAGCAAAGTTCTGATGGGTTTAATGGTGCACTCAATGCAGTGCTTGGCGCATTCCATCAATTTTTTTTTTAAAAATTGCATCTCTTATTTCTTTAAATACATTAATCAGCCTAGTGTAGGCAAAACGGATCCATCGGACAATGCAATAAACATGAATTATCATCTATCCAACACGCATAATGGCTTAAAAATACATAATAGCAGGTGTAGTTTAAATGATTAGTTATTACACCTGTGGTGGGTCTGATTCAATTGGGAAAAATCATCTTTAATAGGTTAAAAGGTTTAGATCACCATGCTTTCCTTAAAGTGGCTGTAGAGAGGGAATGATGGAGTGCTCTGTCATTAGTAATTCATTTAAGAAAAACGTGGGGGATATAGCAAAGAACAGCATAAACGAGCGAATCCAATTTAAACATCAGGTAAAGTAGAAAACACCTTTTAAAAAAGCAAGATAAATGAATTTGGAAAGGAGATGAAATTGACATATTTATTTTAACGGGAATTTGACAAAGTCCCGGCACACTTCAAACTTGCAAAAATATGAACAATTTCTTTTTAAAGTTTCCATTCACTAATTTCAAGTCATATAAAATGATACTGCCAAACACCTACATAAAGTATATTTGGGGCTTGTTTATGCGCCTCTTGATCTTTGTCGGAAAATGCAGGCGACAGGCAAATCACATATTTAACAGCATCGATATCACTACGCCAGATGCAAAAATATAAAGCACCCAAACTAATAGCCTCAACATAATGTGCTGAATAAGAAAGATACCCAGGTAAGAAGCTACATGGAGTGTGAACACACGAAAGCTCTCTCCTCCATCCACTAATTACTTCTTCAGCTACTCTTCACTCTTCTCCCCCCTCCTCCTCACAAGGATCAGGTACCATAAGAGAGATTGTAAAGGCCTGTCCGTCCAACTGAGAGTTTTGTAAGTCCCATGACTCATACACAGCAGGCTAAAGACGTCCCCAAACTCTTTTCCCATAATGCAACGATCCTAACATCTAAACAACTGACGGGGCACTCGCTCTGCGTCTTTCATTTGCCTGCTGTTGGACACTTTTCATTAACTTCATGAAGCAATTCAACTGCCTCTTTCCTCTGTTGAGGCCCAACACACACAACACGCTTTTGTTGGATTAAATGATGGGGTGCCTGCAGCCTGTCCTGTATTATCGTTTGATTTTCTAATTAGAAGATGAACGTGACTATTCATGGGTTATATTTGTGCCCAACTAAATTACATAAATTCAGGCCAAATCTTCCGCCTCAATGTCAAAGATGTAAAACGGAGACAGGAACTTTACTGCGCATGTTGTGGAAGTACAGCAAACCAGAGAAAAGTCTGGCACAAAGCACCTGATACCATTGTGTAAGGCACTTGCTATATGGATGGCTTCCTTTCCCCATGTCTTGCACTGGTAGAGTTCTTAAAGGGTGCATTTGAATTACCAGACTATGATTAACTCAGAAGACATGAAGAGCAAAATGTCTCACCCCTACTACTAGACACACACACACAGTCGAAGCAAAGCAAAGTAAAACAACCTGGCCAACCTTCACAACTTTAGGAAAATGTGATCATGTCCACTATCATTTAAAGTGGAGATGCAGAGGAAAGGAGTCAATTCTTCTTATATCGGTTATCCTCTAACAATGGTTGCACTGGAGTGACTGGCGAGCAGGTCAGTGAAAAGGGGAGGCTCTAGGCTGAAAAACACCATTGATCCAAGACGATTGGCCAGTTGAGAGAGATCTGTGTTTGAGAGAGCAGGATTTGTAACTGTATAAATCAATAGAACACAGCATACTCAGGGGTTATCTACTATGAACTATGTGCTGTTAAATGCATTGTGTAGGATAAGTAATCCCTGGTGAGAAGACAGTCCTCATAGCAGAGAGGCCTCCTATGTGTTTAAAACTCTCCCACAAAAGACCTGCCCATTGTCATCTTCCGAGTGCACACTGGCTCTTCTGCGTGAGGGGGATGAGCTGCCGAATAACGAACCTGGGGTTGGAGGGAGCCTCAGTACTCTGCACCTGGCATGTAAACCTGATGCATTGTCTCCAGTGACACTTACTTGGAATGCCACCAATTCCAGCACTCCTGTGTACCACATACACATCTATCTCCAAAAATGTGAGCATTCATTAGCCATTGTAAAATATTAAAAGTATTCAAAAATTAATGGCACTGCCAACCAAAGCCAGGTCCTTTTTAACCTGAGAGGCCACAACTACAGGGCCTAAGGAAATGACCACAAGACCAGCCTGAAGCCTCATCCCAGCATAGTCTGGCTTGAAAGATTAAAGTCCTGCTCGGAAGATTAAGTTGCCTATAAAAGGTTCCTCTACTCCTACTCTCGAGACCCAGAATCCTGTTAACAAGCGTTAGACCAAAACCAACGTTGAGTTTTAACAAGGAGTGGCTCTAAAAGCCAGGCACTACCGAGAAGGAGAAAACCCTCTTCAAACAGAAATGCTGCATTTTAGTAAGAAATCAGTGCTCTGTCAGGAGTTCCGTGACAAATATGGTCATCGGTGGCACAAGGAAAT